ACTCATCCCCCCAAAACCCCAAAACCCCATAGTCATTGAATTTATTTAGATTTTTTAAAAATTAAAATTAAATTTAAAATTAATATCAATAATTTTCCTTATTTGAATTATCAAAAGCAAATTTTCAATTAGGTTTAGATTATACAATTTACTTTTTCTATTTACCACATTTTTACAATAGTTTTCCTAGGCTGCTTTTCTCAGCTAACTTAGAATATGCTGCCTAGAATTTATTAAGATCCTCATCAATTCCTTTTAAGATGAAGTTTTTCTAGTTACTGTTATTGGATTGTCCTTAACTTTGATCAATTCTCGACCGTCTTCGGGACTACCAGTTTGGAGGTTTTATTAGTAATGGGACTTAGTCTGATATTTGTGTTTGTATCGACGACTAAGACGACCTCTTTAATTGTACAAATTTAGAAGGGTTGACTGGTCTAGATTTATTGGTTTGCTTGAGCTCAGGAGCTAGTTGAAATTTGGTGGGAGGGGTATTCTGTCGTTTAAGGTTTTCTTAGAGAGAAAGCATTTTATCTTTGCTATTTTTATACTCGGGAGTCTTAAAGTTCCCACAGTTCTCACAGAAGTTAGAAACCAAAGGATTCTCTTAGGTACTTCCACTTTCTGCTTATACGGTTTGTTTATTTGACTCATCAGTACTCTCTAAGGTGATTTCGATTCAGCGGGTCCTTAACTGCTTATGTTCTTTTCTGTCAGAATCCCATCTAGTTACTGTGAATTCGCCTTCACCTATTACTTTACTCTCAATCGACACTTATTTTGAGAGATGTATATTATGAACAGACTTGGTGCTACCTGAACTGCCATAATCGAAATCATCCTCTGATATAACGTCTAAGTCATAGTACTTGATAAACTATTCAATCTTGGACCCTTTTATTCTGTTGAGTTAGAATATTTTATCGTTGTAAGTTCTCATGTCGTTCTATGATTGAATATGCTTCAAATATCTTGTCAGTTTAAGCATCTCTCGGTCACTTTTGTCTCCATAAAATGGCACAATAGGTATCCCATTTTCAAGTTGAAACGCAAAGGATTATACGTAGTTGTCTACAATCAAGACATCCTTAGAGTCTATTCCGTTCAGGATTCTCAAATCTTTTACGTAAAATCCTAAATTTTCAAGATAAGTGGTATGCTATCTGAAGAATCTGTGCTGAATTAATTCTCTCTTTGGATCCAAATAATCTATTATTGGATCAGCAAACCACTCGTTTCCAGCTGTGAAAATAGCTACCTCATAATACAAGTTTGCTTGTTTTAAGCATTCCAAAGCAAATGGTCGTATACTAAATCCAGCTTTCACCTCTTCACCTGTCTCGCTGTCTTTTATATCCAACCAGATATCAGGAACAAACTTCTAATAAGTTTATCCACCTTCCTGCAATGTCTAATTTTATTATTATTCTGATGATGGTGGAACATCTTAATTATTAGTTTGATTAGAGTTTTAATCAAATGGAGTATCGATCTCCTCGTAATCAAGAACATCTAGATTTTCTTCATCTGCCTCTCTCAAGACATGAATGAGGGTCTCGTCTAAGTCGAATATTATTAACTTCTTAAAGCCAGTTTTTTTGAATTAAAAGTCGACCAGTTAATCATGTTAAATATCAGGCTTGTCCTTGATCTATTTGATAGTATTTATTGAGTGGAAGATGTGTAGCGTCATATTTTTATAATCAGCACTTCTCATCGGACTATCGCACTAGTCTACCAAATCCTAAGGAATACTTGATTCTGATGGCTTCTTGAAATGTTTGGCTGATTTTATAGATCCTGGAGATATGATCTGAGCACTACGCTGATTGCGCAAAGAAGACCTTCTCTGCCTTTAATATGAGAAAAATATTTCATCAGCAGGCATCGGAGATCCAAGATCTCTTCCTCTTGAGAAAAAATCCTTATGCTCCTTTCTTACATCAGTAATACTATGAAATGAAGTCTCTGAAATGGATTAAAATTAAGAATTATTACTTCTTCTGCGATATCTAAATTTGCTATTGAGATCATTATTAGACTCGCTTGACAAATAGTTGGATATAAGTGACATTTGATCCATCATAACTGACTTGTGCTTTTTCGGCTGTCTCAATTCGCATTCTCTAAGAGAAACTGAAAAGGCTTTTCTATCCTATGACCTTTGCTAGTAGTGGTGAAAGAAAAATTTCCCATTTTCAGTTTTGGGGGAACAGGTTAATCCTTGTGAGCTGTCACCTCCCAGATCTTCTTTAAATTCTGATTCCTCTTGTAATATTCTCTCGCTATCTAAAAAGTTGCTAATCATATTCTTTTTCTAAACTGGAAAGGGTAGTGAGCCGAATTCTATCTGAGAAATATCGATGCTTAGTCTGGAGGCTGGGGTTATATCATTGAGTATCCTATCCTCATTAGAAGCTGAATTATTACTTGAATTTGAGACAGAGTACTATTTTTTTAGTAATGGCGACTTACTACTAACCTCTTCCAACTCAAATTGTTCAATTATACTGTCCATTGAGTAATTTTTCTATTTTTTGGACGAGTTTTTCTGAAAAGTTTTCATAGAATTGAATGGTTTATTCTGATTATTACTGTCTGATGCATTCTCATCATTGTAGAGATGACACTCTAATTTGAGGTTTTGGTTCCTTTTTTTCTGAAAGTTAGATGTGACCTGCACTAGTTTTGTTGGAGAAAGCTAAAGAACCTTTTTATTTTTTAATTAAGTCTAAATTTATAGACTGCTTTTTTTTATTGACTATTCTTTTGTCGTCATTCTATTACGAGATGTGTTTGAAATTTACTGCTGAAACTTTGAATAGAGTATTAAAATAATTATTATCTAAATAAAATGATAATACAATATTATTCTTACTTATTTATGCATTTACGAATGAATTGTATTTTACTCATTAGGGGTTTTGGGGTTTTGGGGTTTTGGGG